AAGTTTGACCAAAAAGGACACAATTATTAACAGGCACGCTGCAGGTAGCATTGAAGAACGTAGGCATGTTATATGTGCCCTTTCATTTTTTTTATAGGGTTGTTCACATATGCATGTCATCCCATCAGGCCATAGACATCATTCACTATTAAAAAAAAAAAAAAAAAAAAAAAAAAAAAAGATGACACCCAGTGACAAGTTACAGTGATCCATTTCTTTCGTGTTTAAAGAAATTATGGAAAATTTCATTATACTCGTAATCACAATTAAACGGACTCATTAACTCGGAGTATTGAACCGAGACCTCCGTCATCACAGACATCATTCACTGGTTCTTTCATTTGTTTGCATTTAAGGAGGTAGATTATATTCATAAACAATATTTCAAGCGACGACTTTGTAGTATTGGACATTAATGATCACATCACATAAACAAACCACCGAGTCATATTTAATTTTAGTTTTCGGAGGTGCTTGTTTGGTGTTAGATTCGAATTGAGCTTGATAATTCATATAATTTAATATTTTAGTAAATCCGAGGTGAATGATTTTTCACTTGATCAAGGGCATAATAAGAGATTAGACATGAAAAAAAACTCTTTTTCGTTCTACCATATTAAGGAGTTCGAAAGGATGATTAAATCTCCTTCATGTATAATTCATCTTCTATTTTCATTTCTTTCAACAATTATCTTTAACATAACGAGCAAAGACGAAGGGACCAAGATGGATCAGGCCCATCTTGATCTTTTTCATGCAGAAAAATTTAATGTTATGTTTATGATTTTTAAGGTTTTTCATAGGCTCAGAGTCTAATCCGACATTTTTACTTTAATTTCTTTTGTCGGGTTTGATTTGAGAGTAGTGGTTCCTAAGGAGTTTAGGCAGTTTTTTGCTTGTGAGTTTTAATGAGGACTTTGGTCTAGCCCTTTTGGGGATCAATGGAGGGAGAGAGGAAAAAAGTTAGAGGGGCTTGGGTTTAGGTTTAATGAAGAGGATCATGAGGACAACACCATGCCGACCCAAACGATGTTGCTGGTTGCTAACCACATAAGATAATAATTTTTGTAAGATCATAAGAGCATTTTAGATTGAGATATTTGAACCCCTTCTAAACTAAAATTTAAGCTCCACCAAGTTATCCAATCTAACACGATCGTAACGGCCAAACGAGGCCTTAGTGTTTGCAGATTTACCTTGCACTGGACCTAATTCATTATTTTTGTCAAACATGGCGGAGGATTCAATGTGACCGAGATGGAGGATCCCATGTGAACATTTTCAGAACCATTGGAGGATGAAGAGGAAATCAACATCACGTTTACGCATTTGTACGTTTTCCCTGTTTGATTATGCAATTGTATGTTTCTCGATCGATCGATCTTTTTTGTTGTTTTGCAGCAGATGGGACTCGCCTCGTGATACAGTACCGTTAAACTTTGGCCATGCACGCAGTTTTGTAGCTAGCTAGCAATGGCAGATGCAGCAGCTTTGCTACCTCCAGATAAATTAAACTCGCCTCGTGATACAGTACCGTTAAACTTTATCGATCTCTTTCCTTGGGATCGATAAATTAAACAGCCTCATCAATAACTAATCCAAATCAAGCGAGTCAGAAAATCTGTTGGGACGAGGGACTTTCAAAGTACTTTTTTCCATGTATCATGTGATGGTAACGAACTACTCACGCTATAAATAATCGAATATACTACAAACTAAGATGTTAAGGGACTTTCAATCTGACACGTTTAATGGTGTCATTTGAAAGTTCTATCAAATGTAGTGCAATTAGTTATTTAAGTCTCTTTGTCTAAATTTTTGAAGTGCATTTTTGACAAATTTAGCTTAAATTTCGTAAAAATTCCCCATCCAAATATAGGGCAGAAGAAGACAAACTTGGGCTCCAATGGATGTATGTACAAATTATACTTCTATGCTTGTCTCTCTCGTCGCTTATTACTCAGTTGCACAAAAAATTTTGCTCTAAAAACCTAAAATGAATCTAGAGTTTCAAAACTTCTTGTTATCTATGACTGGTAGGCCATCAACCAAAATTTTGCATGCTGAAAACTGAAGGCTATAAAGTGAAAACTGAAAAGAAAATGATTATCAAACGGACCATAAAGTCTTATATGAGGTCAATCGTGGGCTCTCATGTTTACATGTTTAATACTCTGCAAGTTGTAATTAACGCATGGATTGACCATGTTGAATTTATATTTGGAGATGAGTCATTTCAGTTCGTCAAATTGTAACAAAAACATGATAACACATAGAACATGTAATATGCTCACTTGAGTAGCCGGTGATTGATGGCCGTTGCTTTTATTCAGATTGCCTTTCATGAATAATCATCAATTGGAATTGTCACTAACTACCGTCTGATTTTATTCTTCTTCACTTGTAAGTAAGAGGTCTTAAGTTCGAATTTCGTGGACTGCGAATTCGATAAAAAATTAGGTTACTCATTGTATGGTTTAGCCGAACTCCCCCTCTTCTTAATGTAAAAATATATCGTTGTAGTCAAAAAAAGGGGAAAAAAAACACATAAATTCGAATTGGATTACCCTTCAGCCACCTCCATGTGCGTGGATGAGATGTCTATGACTACAAATGAGTTGGTCTGGATGCTGGTGGGGGCGTTTCACTTTCAACTAGTAAATAATAAGTGTCGGATTGGTATCAGAAATTTATGGATGCAGCCACAAGGGCACAACAACACAAGGGACCCGGGTTTTCTAGCAGCCACCCCCTTCACAGCATACCGAATAACAAGCAGATGTATGCTATGGCTGGTCGGTTGCGCTCGTAAGTGACTTCTGACTGTTGATGCATGTGGTAAGCATGTTGACGTTGATAAAATCTACGGTTTTTGAAATCCTTTATGTGTATTTATAAGACCGAATTCATACGATTTTTAGAAATGATTACTAATCCTAAGATTACAAATCCATCATTTCCCTATTAAGCAAAATCTCCGACGATTTGCAAGCCTTCTTAGAAATCGTATGGATTCAATGTTATACATACGCGAGAAAGACGTCAAAATTGTTGTCAGAGGGCGATGAACGACCTACCCTGGGCCCTCGCCCTAATTTAACGAATACAGTGGCTCATCGCATTAGTCTAAGACAACAAGATTGGGCCTAGCCTAGTAATGCTATAGTGGGCTTTATACACTGTTATGTATTAACCTAAGTCCCTAACAGATTCCAGTTTTGATCAGAAAATTCTAGGTGAGGCGGTTCAATCATGTCATTTCACCGCTTTTATTACTTTTACCTAGGGCACCATGTCCTACTATAATTTTTATTTATTTATTTATTAAAATGATCGCACAGTTGACGTGGTCAAACACACTGACCGAAAATTTTCTCCACGTTAAATAACATGATTATACAAAATTAAAAGGAAAAGACTATATTCTAGAGGATAATCGCAATCAGATGTGAACATGCCTTTTTCTTCTTTCTTTCTTTATGTGGTATTTCCATTGGTTGGATGGAAGAGCTGAACATGTCAACAGATCATGTGCTTACCAATTCCTTTGGTGCTGCTGCGCTGTAGACATTGACAACCATAATATTAATACTTGGAAGCAAAACTTGTAGTTAGATGCCACATTTTATTTACAACTTGCAAGCCAATTCGTTTGTGCATAAATCAGGGAGTTATGTAGACATGTAAATTTTGATAAAATAATTACTTACTAATATATTAAAATTTTGATGTGTTAGGGCTTACGCGACATGAATCATGTGTCTCACAAATCTTACATATTACATGTGGCTCATCAAAACTGGACGGGTCATTAATGATGACACGCTACACTTGTTGTAAAGTAATTAAGGAATTATCTAAATTACTTTTATTTTAAATAAAACAAATTAATTGATTTAAAATGCCAAATCAAGGATGGTCAAATAAAGGATGAAATGTGATTGATTTATTTGATTTAAATCAAAGATTTTTTGATGGAGTGAAAATCATGAATCAAGCCTCAAATCAAGTCATGGTTCCTAATTAGATATTATGACTTTACATTTACATTAATACAAAATTTATTTTGCACAAGTGTTCTTGGTTGATTGTCACATGAATTTCATGTTTACAAGTTCATTGAATAAATTAGAGGGTTGAAGTTTGAACTAATCAACTAATGGGCATCTATTAGGAATTGAAATTATGATTTCGATGAATTATAAATTGCACCTTTTAATCATTCGATTACAACTGTTTATCACGAGCATTCTGATACATACACGTTTCTGACCTTTTAAACTGGCTTTTGTGGTCAATCATGTTTTACGTATGCATACAAGAAGAAAAATGAGCAACAATTACCTCATATATTTGGTTGCTGTTGTTGGGGCAACAATAATATTGTCAACAAAAAATATGTGATAAAAAGCCAAAAACTAAGTAATAGCCACACCGCAATACTGACTGATGCATTAAAATATACTTTAACGTCTTTGTATGTCATAAAAGTAAAAAAATTAAATAATAAGTACACCGCAACGATGACTAATACATTACAATATACGTTGACATCATTGTTACCCGGCAAAAACACCCAAATAGCCACTATATGGGTAGTTGTCGTGTCGCTCACTCTTCTTGCAGTGATGTATAGAGGCATCCTCGAGCCACTCGGTGAAGATGAATGACTAACCTCAACGAAAATAAATTGAATTTTGATTTAAATTAATTTAATATGTTAGCGATAGTTGTTTACGTATAGATTCATTGCATGTTAATATTTTGCATGCATCAATGATAAAGGGACAGACTGTCCTTACCTTGGTTTCTACAAAAACAATCATCATCGATCTTGGAATCATCCGGAACCATTGGCCTGCACCAGCAGCAGCTGTAGTCCTTATACACCCTGTCACCAAGGAAGTTAGTTAGTTACAATCGCCCAGCAGTCCACCAACTAATTATATATGTGTACCTGCTGTCCAATCAGTCTGCCACGTCCTCCCATTTGCAAAGTTACCCCGATCACTCACGCGTTCTGTTGGGTGTGTGCGAGCGCAGTGATTCCCACACGGCACGCCAAAACTAAACGCTGCCCTGTCACTCGGCAAAACTCCCAATTCCTCAAAATCCTATTGTCTTTCCTCCAATTCCAATTCATTCCCCGGCAGAGTCGATGAAGAATCAAGACGATGCACCACCGAAATTCGATGAACAAGAGGTTGGATCACCGCCGCCGGTTGTCCCAACGCGCCCACCGGTCGCTGACGTGGAGAACCAGACGCCCTCCCAGGCCAGAAATGCTGGGACAGGGTTTGGGGTCGCGGGGATCCTGCGGCGGTGGAAGAGGGAGGACTTGTTGAGGAAAGGGTCGCTGGCTCTGAGGGGACTTGCTCTGGTTTTTTCATTGCTGGCCTTCATCATCATGGCCAGCAACAAACACGGCTACGGGAAGAATTTCGATGAATATGAAGAATACAGGTGGGTGATAATTCAATTAAATTGATCAAATTCGGTGATTATTTTGTTAATCTGAAAATTTATTGCGATTAATAATTTGTTAAATCATTTTTGTGATTTAATTTGATAGGTATGTGTTGGCAATAGCGATTCTGGCGACGTTGTACACAGGGGCGCAAGCATTCCGGCATGCACACGAACTTTCCACCGGCACAGAAATGTTTCAGCGACGGACGTCGGCGTTGGCTGACTTCATCGGCGATCAGGTAATTTGTTTTTCATATCCTTCATTTTTCTAAAATGCGTTTAGAGTAAGCAATTTGTTTATAATTTTTTTTTTTTTTTTTTTTTGAGTCGAGTTTGTTTAGAATTTTAAAAGAAAAGAAAAGAAGCTTCCAATCATGACGATAAAGTAATAAAGAAAAGAAGGTTCTCGTTATGGTCTAGCTATGAAACGGACGTTCGTAGACCAATTTGTGATCGTGAAATTGATAAAAAGACCATGACTTTTTTGATATGTGAGTGCCAACTAAGCAAAAAGCTAAACCACTACTTAACAAGGGTGTGCGATGGGCAATATGCCAACCTTCCCCGGTGCCTTTCTGGCAGAGTTTCGAAAGCTGGGAGCACTTTATGGTCAGAGACAAGTCGAATCTCGAGCGGAGATTAGTCCTACTCTTTGGGTGTGGGTACATTTTGTGGTCTTTATAAAAAATAAAAAAAATAAAAAAAAAACAAAAAGAGAGGGTAGAAATACAAATGAAATAATCGACAAAAATTTGATTTGTGAGTTGATGGTGTGTTGCAGATTATGGCCTATCTATTGATATCATCGTCATCTTCGGCGATTCCATTGACGAATAATATGAGAAATTATCAAGACAACCTATTCACAGACGCTGCAGCATCTGCCATTAGCATGGCCTTTCTTGCTTTCGTAGCTCTTGCAATATCGGCTCTAATTTCCGGTCACAAATTATCGACTCAATCTTACATCTGATAGATTATTACGGGCTTAATTTCTTCGATTTCAAGATTTATTGTTTGTGTGCCATATAGTTTCATTAATTGTCACAAATGTCTTGTAATTAGGAGTGTACATTAATTCATCTTTGATTGGAGTTTAGATCATTAGGGTTTATAGTGTGAATAATATGATGAGATATGTATCTTGTTTTACACATCAGTAGAAAGATGTGTACTTTTCTTCTATCAAGTAAGAAAGTTTTAGAAGAGGGATTCTGCCATTCCTTTTCTTTCTTTTTTTTTTTAAATTTCTTTTTATATCAGAAGTCCTTTTTGTTATAAAAGCAAAGATTTGGGGCTTCTTCAGTTATTAACAATTGATTTTGAGTTGAATGCTTGTGTTCTGACAATATGTGTGTTAAACAATAGAGTAACTTTCTTTTGTAAGAGGTAAAGTTTTCGAAAACTTTACATTGGGATGTAATTATGTAGGGCCGGTACCCAAATACAAAAGTTCGTTTCTTTGTGAGAGTGACCGACCAACCATGTAGTCAGACTGGCCTACTGAACTTCCTTGTTGAGAGTGAGGTTGAGAGAAGTGGTATATTTTGTATATGTAAAGAGTTCTTGAAAAACAGAAACAATTTCACTTTTCCATTATATGGGCAGCCCTATAGGTTTGTATTTGCTTTTTCTAATGAAAAAAGTGCTTTTGGAACTTGAACAATTCCTAATTCATATCATTCTACCTCTTATTTTCTCTTCAGCTTAGACTTACTATTACAACATGGTGCGAAAAGAATAAACAAATGCAATACTAATGACTCCTTAGACAACTACTTAGGAACTATACAACAACACACTAAACCCTAATTAATCTTTCAAGCGCCTTGATTTGATCCCAAATTACAAAAATGCGTCGTCCCTTGGTTCCTTGGACCAGAAGACACATCCTCGTGTAACATTGTTACCGATTGGCAGAGCTCTCAATTCGCTTTCAGAACTCGGAAAATCCATAACTTCCTTCACTCTGCAACATTTTGAGTGTATACGGCGGTTGGCTTTCAGTGGTTGCTGGCTGCCTTGTGTTCTGAAGAGAGTTGAGGTACCTCAAATTAGAATGGTTAGGCAATGCCAAGGGCCTCACAGCCATGGACACATTGTTGCTGCTATTATCGGCAGCAGGTCTACTTGCATTGCTGTTATTGCTGCTCCCACGCGCTGCAGGAACATCGTGGTTGTGTTTCCCTTCGTACGTGGTGATCACCGCCCTTGCGTCATGCGATGCTCGCTCCACATGCTTCCTCACCGGACAACCCACGGATGTGCATTTGTAGTAGCTCCTGAAGATTGGGAAAACAATTGGAAATGCTAATTGGCAGCTGATTTCAAAAGGGTTTGCTTGGAATTAAAGTAAACTCATTGATAGGGTTTCTACCTCGGATTCGGATTTCCCTTCACTACTTTCTGTCCATACTTCCTCCACCTATACCCGTCATCCAGAATATCGATTTCACTTGTTGTCTGCACCACAATTCTTGGTTCTTTTACAATTCTACTACCAGAAGATGCGTAGGCTTGATCATTTGCATTTTCTCCCTTCCTGCAAAATATAAACATATAAGTAAAATAAAATTGAATTTATAAAGTTTTGGCTATGAACACGTACAAAATTGGCAAATCCCAATCAGAAATTTTCATGAACTTACCATCTTTTCGCCTCAGGCTCGTTTTCGTCTTCAGCTCCTCCTGAATTACTTATTGGAGAGTTCTGTTCAAACTCATCCTCTCCCATTGAGGTTGAAGACTCCTCCTGCAGTGTGATGGACTCAACTTTCGGATTGGATAACGTTGGAACGGATTGATCAGAGATTACATACGAAGAACCCTGAATCAAGTTAGAGCTTGATCTTCTTGTAGACTGAGGCTTAGGATGGTTATGACTACCCTTGTACACAATTTGAGTAATCTGTCCATCCAATGATCTCTCAACCTTCTTCTTTGTGGGGCAATTCGGAAACGTGCACTTGTAATAACTCCGCGGATTTTCGCTACCCTTCACTTGTTTCTGCCCGTACTTCCTCCAATTGAACCCATCATCCGATTTTTGTTCTCGAGCATATTGCGAAGATTGAGTAGAATGCAAGTAATCGGACTTCGGAGCACCATTAAGTCCATTACTCTGCGTATTCGCTTCCATTGGCTCGAATTCCGACTTGACTGCTGTCTTCTCAGCTGAGGAATCAGCTTGCCTTGTTGTACTAAAGTCCCACGCTTGCCTTTCCCTTTTAAATGGTTCTTCCTGTTCAAACAAAAACAATCATCAAGCTTCTGATATCGCCTAATCGCGGTTCAAAAAATGAAGAAAAAAGCTTCAAACTTTACAGTTCAGTTGGAAATTTAAACAAAGTAAAGAACTCTTACCACTGAAACCATGCTAGAAGAAGATTGCAGATTAGTTGCAGGCCGCGATTCCGGTTGGAACGAGAAATCGGAGAACATTTTCGACTCGCTCTCCCTAATTACTTGCTGGGTGTCCTTAGTATTATTCATCCAATCGAAAACCTGACTCGAAAAAGCTCCAGTTGTTGGAGATTCAAGATTCTGCAGAAACAAAAAACCCATCAATAAACATACCAAAAAAAAAAAAAAACCATTGAAATTTTAGAAGCATATGAATTTTGTAAAGCTTACATTTGAGGAGGAGAGGAACATGGATGAGCTGAGAAAATCGGTGGGACTAAAAGCCGGCGTGGAAGCCAAGTAAGAAGAAGGGGAGACAGGGGGAGGGGAGAGAGGCAGAGAAGGAGGCTGGAGTGACCTGAACTTGGGGATTTCAGTCCCGTTTCTGTCCGTAAACCGGTTCGGATTAGACGAATAGTCCGAGAATTGTCCCCCCCAATTAGTCCTGTCCTGTCCAATCCCGTTGTTCTCCATGTTGCTTGTGAGGAGGTTCGTGAATGAAGAAGTCATGTTTATGGCCTCCGGGTGTGAGAGAGAAATGAGAGGGGTGAGGATAGCAATTTAAAGGGTTGAATGCAAGTCACAACTATAGGGGAGACAGAGGAGAGAGGAAGGGTATTTTGGTCACTTTTGGATGTTTCTGAGAAGCTCAGGGAAGTTTGACCGTGGAAAATGGGAAAAATAATTCCGGTCAAAGCTTGTGGGTTTGACTTGACTTTGAAGAGTGCCCACGTATGGTAGGTGGCGGCTCATGATACACAAGCTCTGCAGTTAGAAGAGGCTGCTGGGGATCTTTTTGCTCTATGTGATAATGTATTTAAAATGAAAAACCAAAAAAAAAGGTATTTTTCTTTTGTCAAAACTTGAAAATTGAAAGAGTGGCAATTATTGGCACTCATCATAAGGGTTAATTTCACGTTTTGCACCCAAACTTTTGGGATGTTTTCGATTTGATCCTTTCGAAATTTATCCACAAACTTCAGAAGTGTGTTTAATAACGATATAAACTGACTTCGTCAGCTAAATAACACACGCGACTCCTTTTTCAAATAAGATTTTGGTTACCCAACTATTTTGATCAAAATGGCCTTAATTATGAATGATTAGTTCAATTTACATATATTTTTTTAGATGTGTTTCAATTTGAGTGATTTTGTTTCGAGTTACATTGGTTTGAAAAAACACTTCATCAATCCAGAACCCTTGTCTCCTCTTCTTCTTTTCTTATTTAATTTGCACCCACCAATGTCACCCCTTTCTCTATCTATTTTTTTTTTCTTTTGGAAAAAAGAGATCAACTGGTGACTTCTCCACGGCATACCACATTTTCAATGATTGAAAAGACTTATAGAGGTATTTCAGTCTTCCTTTGCACACCATCATATGATTCACCAGCGCCAGAAGTCAAACCTAGAATGTGTCGTGTCCCACTCTCTATGTATTTCATCTTTCTTTTGTGGTATGTAAATTTGTAACAATTTGGAGTTGGTACGAAAATTTTTCATGAGCGATGTAGTCAATACCAAGGTCCTTTCCAACAAAAACTGGCCGAATTGAACTATATCCACTACTAATTCTGTCGACTTTTGTAACTGCTGACATTGTTGTTCTCATCTACCATATTTTTAAAGATTAGGATCCAAAGAAAATACATGAGGGGCTAACGTGGAACAAACGTAAAAGCGGCTAACGTGGAACAAACGTAAAACTCAATGAGAAATTACTAATGAACTCTTATTAAAATATTTGTTTATGTTCTTTTGTTTTTTGGATATGGTTATGTGTCCTATGGTAATAAAAGTCCCCAATGCTTGCAAATACAACGTAGAGATTTTATATCAAGAGTAATGTTATTCATATCATGTTTTTATACCATATTTTTATACCATCTTAGATAGTATCTGATGTGGAAAGCCACATCATTTGAAAAATTTCCAAAACCCAAGGAAAGGAAGGAGAAAGACTTCTCGTATACCACAATCATCATTTAATTAACTAGTTTTTCTTAATTATTAGTTTATTAAATAATGAACTAAATTTAAAAATCTGATTAATTCAAATGATGTGGCTGTCCACATCAAATGTCACCTAAAGTAGTATGAAAATGTGGTACAAAAACATAGTATGAATAGCATTACTCTATCAATAATGTTATTTTTACCATATTTTTGTACCACAATTGTATACCATATTAGGTGGCATCTGATATGGACATCCACATCATCTAAATTAATTAGCATGTAATTTCAAACTGGTAATCAATAATTAATAAAAATATTGTTAATTAAATGATGATTAAGGTATATGAGGAGTCTTCTTCTTCCTTCCCCTATCCATTATGCTTCTTCTTCCTTCCCTTTTCGTTTTCATGCCAGTTGTTTTTATTGATTTCGGTTGATTTCCTTGATTATGGTCAAGCTTTATAAAATTTACTCGTATACCACAATCACCATTGATTTCTATCTCCAGACTCATGCCCCGTAGCCCCAATCCTCATTCCCTTTCAAGTATTTATGTCTCCAATCTTCATTGGTATTCCATGGTTGTTCATCTTGTGATTTTTTTTTTTTTTTGCTTTCTTTTCAAAAAAAAAAAATATATATATATATATATATTGTGGTTTAAAAGAAGGATTTCATTTGATTATTTCATTTAGTAATGCCTATTAGCTTTCATGTGAATTAGGAGTCAAAATCAAATTTGTCTATCGGATTAAGGTTCATGCCCAATTAAGTTAGTAAAGTCAGAGGGAGAACTTAAAGTCTGCAATTTTCCTTATTTAAGTGTTTTAATTAATAAGAAAATTGAAATTAAATGATGTAACTTGTCTAACTCATCTGTCATCTAAGATGATAAAGAAACATTAATATCATTAAAAAAATGATATCATTAAACTTTGATATCATTAAAAAATTAATATCATTAAACTTTGATTATTGCTTTCATATAGAGGACAAAATCCCTCAAAAGCTAATTATTGTAGGCAAATCGATAGAAACATTAATATTATTAAAAAAATGATGAATTCAATTTAATAGTAACTAATGATTGATTAGGTCAAAATATGAAATAATCTAAAAGGCAAATTCAGAAAACTGTTAATCTCTTCCCATTTTGTTTAATTTAGCCATAAATTTGTGGTCAAATACAATTATTGCACATGACCCACATGGGCCACATCCCATTTGTGATAGTGCTAGAAAATTGCCACTAGTCATCGTCATTGTGGTCGAAATTTTTTTCCAATCGGCGAAAAACTTCAAGTCGTTATTCAACATTAACTAAAAAAACAATATGCACATTTTTTTCATCTTCAAGTATGTTTTGATGTGAGTTTATTTTTCCTTTACATGTATACATAATAAAATTAGAGAACCTATGAAAAAATTTATTACTCAACATGTTTTTTTAAGATCATTGTTGACCAGTATATTGAGTCCGGAAAATTTGATCAACTGGTTGCAGGAAAAAGTTGGCCGGTTGAAAACGTGTTAGGATTGAATAGCAATCATGTAATTATTTTGAATTATAGTAGTATTTATAGAATTATTTTGATTGACTTTTCCATTAGCACCTAAACAAAAACATAGTACTTAAACTAAAAGATCCCATAAATAAATCTGTTTCACTGGAGAAGGGCGGGAAAATTAAATTAATAGGCAGGCGCTTCTTGAACGAAAAAGGTTCCGTTGTGTATTGGTTAGAACTCTGAACTTTGAATCCAGCGACCTGGGTTCGATTCCCTGCGGGTCCTTTTGTTTTTTATCAAAATTTTTGGACAGCAACAATGCTTCAACAAATTGGTTTCTTTTCACCATATCTTAATTACATGAGCCAAAAGAAATAAAGAATTATTTGGTCATGAGAAATCTTTATGGAAAACAGTTCGCAAGAAATGAATTGCGGTGGTATTGTGTTATAAAAAATAAAGTGAGAACGAAACTTTGTTAGATATTGAACTAAAACGAGAGTAATGAATGATTCTATTTATCTTTTTCAACGGTGTCAATCAAGAGAAATAGAAGGTGAGAAAAAGTATGAGTATTAATTTTTGGTTTTCATCTATGTATTCATCATACGATACATGTTGAAGAAGTCTATAATCTCATTTAATGCATGTTGAGAAATTATGTTAACGTTATGAAAAATCATTTTGTACAAAGACCATCTCTCAATGTCATGTCCAAAGTAATGTCACAAGAAGAAGACATCTCAACCTACAAGAAAAGTGAGAAAGCCGATTGCATGAATCTTTGACTGTAATTTCCAACACTCAGGGTTGCTAAACAATCACGAATCATGAGAAATTGAGAGAGAAGGAATCTAGGCACAAAAGATAAAAGATATTGTGCTTTATTTTTCTCAAATACGCGAATGATTACGAGACTATTTTATTTTTAATATGTTGGATGAAGTGTGACTTTAGTCTCTGAACTATTACCTTAGTGAAAATTAGGTCATTGAATTTATTTTTCGGTAAAATAAGTTCTTAAATGCATTAAAAATTGCTAATTTCATCCCTACGATTTTATACAAAGCTATTTTATCCAATTTTTCTTCAATTTAAGTTACTTGACACACGTTAAAGTGTAATACTATCATTTTCTCGCCTATAAGCCCTTCACATTTCATATAGATTGCGAATCTAACATCTAATTTACCCTCCAAAGTTAACTTAAACGATTTCATATGTACAACTACCAATTTACCCTCTAAAGTTAACTCCATACACTATTTCTTCATGGAAAACTACCAATCTACCCTCTAATGTGTATCACATGCAAGTAACGTGACTTAAATTGAAGGAAAATTGAATATAGTAGCTTCGAATATAATATTAGGGATGTAATTGGTAGATTTTTATAATTCAAGGATTAATTTTTCTGAAAAAATAGTTTAAGAACCTAATTTTCACTGAGATGATAATTCAGAGACTAAATTGGCAATCCACCCTAATATGTTTCACTATAAACTTGTTTTACTGAAAATTGTTATTATACGATATGATCACCAATACTTATTTGAATGTGATGTCTGATGTGTCAATAAGATCGTTGACGAGCGACGATTACAACAAAGATACGAGCATGTTGCTTCAAGAACAGATGCGCCAACATGAAGCAAGTAGGAGAGGAGCTGAACATATACAAAAGTTGGTCAAGGCCACCCACCGTGGAAGGGTCGCTTAACGCGGTCAAGAGCTTTTTCGTGGTGTCAATACAATCGGGGTTCACAAAATATGACACAAAGTTTTTGTGACCGAAAAAGACCGCGACCATGTGTATACATTAGCCACATGACTTTTTAATCCCTTTTTCTAACTTAAAACACTTTGTGTTCTTGTCTAATATCACACTGGCCCCCCTTTTCTAACTTAAGCAAAAATAAGGAAGATAGATTTTTCAATGTTCCAGAAATACGAGATGGTGCAATACAAGTGGAAAGACACTTGAAAACTAAAATTTTCATGCACTTATATAATAATAACACGTGGTGTACTACTCCATATCACGGGCACACTGAAA